ATTTCCGTGTTGCGATAGTCATATTCGCGTTGCGATAGTCAAATGAATTTCTAATAAGTGATAACAACTGAGCATATCATAGCAATGTTCAAACTCAAGTTACTAATACATGCCTAATTGAAAATGTTAAAAGTTCACACATAATATACACATAATACAATGTTTGCATTTAAAAATCACCTAAGTTAACAGTCCCAAAAGGTGAAGCCGGTTGTGATTGGGATTTTGATGAGGATCCATATTGTGGTAGAGGAAAAGATGATTGTGATGGCATTGGTAATCCACATGTCAACCTTGTATGACCACTTTCCTTGCACCGACTACATGTCGATCTCTTCTTCTCTTCACCCTTAGACGGTATACGATCGTGACTTTTTGGTCGGCCAGGTAGCCTTCTGTCCATGGCTGGTGGCAAAACTGTTTGTAAGTCATATGGTATGTCCCACTCAGAAGGATGTGGAATAGGGTAGACAATCTCGACATAAGTCTATCGATATACTTCTATAGTGTAGCAATCCATAGCGTATGCGCTTGAATCATCTTGGTTTAGATGAAGAGCAACTTTTATAACATGGCCACACGGATAACCAGATGTTTGCCATTTCATACAACTACACGTCTTTGTATTTAGATCGACAAGCTCATTTAAGTTATTATCCAGTACTTCAAACAAAGTGTTTGAACATGGTTCAACTCTCCATAAAGTTGACTTCACAACACGTTTCGTTATCTTTTTTTCAGTCCATGGTGTAACACGATGTTCCAATGTTCCTGTAAATTTAAATAAATAATACTTAGTAAAATATATGATAAGTTACGAATTTAAAGAAATAATACATGCATGGTTTATTTTCTTGAAGTACCACTGTTGAATAGAGGCTCGAAAAAACTCCATTAACATAGTAATGGGTAATTTCCGGGAATGACGACTTAGAGCGTTGATTGATTCTGCACTATTAGACGTCATGAAACCATATCTTGCTCCAAGTTGATGTACTATTGACCATCTTTCAAACCCGACATCTTCTAGTGTTTGAGCACACTGAGGCAAAACACGTCTTAAACAGTTTATATGCTTATTAAAATCCACTTCTCGATAAGCTTTTACAGCCTTCCAGTATGTCCATTTTTGATTTTTTATACCAGCAGACCTTGATTTTAGATTTCTATACAAATGAACACCACAAAGTCCATGAAAAGCATCTGGGAAATACCTTCTAACAGCGTTGTCAATTGAGTTTGCCCTATCGGATATGATTGCCAGATTGCTAATAGGACCTATGCAATCCCTAAGATGCCCCATAAACTATGTCCATGAATCAGAGGTTTCAGATTTGCCAACCCCGTAAGCTATTGGCAGTATCCCATTGTTAGCATCCATGGCTACTGCTAATAAGTTTACTCCAATGTATCGACCTTTTAAATGTGCTCCGTCAACTATAATAACTGGGTGCATGCAAGTAATAAACGAACGAATCTACAAAATCATATACACAAGAAATATAATCATTTAAATGTGAAATGCATGTAACTAACAAAAATGAGTCAACAAAATTATATTGATTTACTAACCGCAGAACCAATGGCGATAAACAACAACTCAAAGCGTCCATCTCTATCTGTTTTGACAACAATTCCAAGGCATAACATTTGGCTCTCCAAGCTTGAGAATATGAGATACTAATCTCGAACCGAGCATTCATGTCAGTCATAATTTCATATCCCCGATATACCCTGCCATTCAAAAACATTAACTCAGCCAGAAAACCACCCAACACCTTTTTGTTTGCCTGTCTATGGTGAGGAAAAACTTGGGTTCTTGAACATGTATGTTTATCAGTAAAAGTCCTAACTTGAAACATTTCGCAATCTTTTATCCTCTTTGCAATCATACGCCGCGTACAGTTTTTGTCAATCATACACCTTGTTTCGAAACGATCTTTGCTTGATTTGTTAACTTTTAGTTGATAGCCATATTCCACACATTTCGTATACAAAGCTATCTTCAAGTCTTCCTTTGTATCAAAACAATCATCTTTCTTGATACGAATAATTTTTGTGTAACAATCAACTGCTATCTTTACCAATTCTTCTTCCGGTATCTGAAGTAATTCTGGCATATTCCAGTTATACTCCCGTGGCATTTTCTTCTTTTTCTTTTCTCCGGGGACTTCTTCTTCTTCTTTTTCTTCTTCAGGGTTATATGAATTACAGAATGTACGTTCAACATATTCATTTACAGTCGTAACTTCCTCCTCATTATCATCAACAACATCTTCCTCGGCAACGGCTGTTTCATCATCAAAATTCGGGTATTGACCAATATCAAAATCATTACACGCAGGGTCTGTTTATTCTTCTGAAAAATCATCAAAATCCGAGTATTGACCAAGATCAAAGTCCAGGTATTGACCAAGATCAAATTTCGAATACTGACTAGTACTCATAATTTTTTCTGTTGGCTCATCATCGTCTAACTGGTCAATACGAAAACCGGAATTTGGTGCTGAAAGTTGATTGGGATTTGGATTAGGGAAAGGTTGTGGGTTTGGAGATTGTGTTTGGTATTGGAAATGTGGTGAAACAATATTTGCTTGGTGATGAAATTGTGGTGGAACCATTAAATTTTGAGCACCATAAACTGGGGTTGAAAAACTTAGTTGATTAATACCCGCTACTGACCCAACTTCACTACTTCTAGGTTCAACAACATACAATGTAACATCATCACTTGAAACACTAATGTAAACAATGAATCGTTCAACATCTTCATTGTCGGTTAACAAATAAACTTTACCATTTCTCTGATAAGATAGCCTAAATCCACTTAGGGGCTCTAAATTCAATTTATTTGCAACACGTAACATTAGAGTTTCATAAGTTAACTTTTTTAATGACATTTTTAGTTGAAGATTCATGGGTAAAGGCATATATTGTAAAACACCATGAACATTCTCCCATGACCCTCCAAAACACAAATCTATCCAAACATGATCAACATTAGATGATTTCATTATTGTAAATTAATTTACTAAACAAACGAGCTGCGAAACTAAAACTTGTTGCCGGATGGGGAAGGATGTCGTTGGATATAGGAACGGATGTCGCCGGAGGGAGTGATAGATGGAGATGGAATGAGTTGCGATTTAGGGATTTAGGTTATGAGTTGCTGCTGCTGCGTAGTTATTTTACCCAAAACATTTGTGTTGCGAAACTAAAACCTGTTGCGAATTCAAAAATCGAGTTGCGAATTTGAAATTCAGTATTGCGATAGTCAGAATCGCGTTACGATAGTCAGAATCTCGTTACGATAGTCAGAATCTCGTTGCGATAGTCATAATCGCGTTGCGATAGTCAGATTCGCGTTGCGATTTACGTATTCGCAATGCGATTTACGTATTCGCATTGCGATTTACGTATTCGCATTGCGAATTACGTATTCGCATTGCAAATTAGGAAAATCGCAACGCGAATTTGGAAAATCGCAATGCGATACTCAGAATCGCGTTGCGAATCTGGAAACTGATTTGCGATACCGGAGATCGCGTTGCGAATTATCGATCGCATTGCGATTTAGTTGGTCATTTTGGCAAATCCAAAAAAAGTTGGTTAAGATCGTATATTATAAGGCATTTTTGGTCACTAAGGTTATTTTCTCTTATATAAACTATATATATACTATAAACTGTGTATATAAACTATATTATACAAACTATAAGACTATAATGTATTATAATATATAATATATAATATAAGTTTAATTATAATGTATTATAGTATATAATATAAGTTTAATTATAATATATAAATATATGTATAAAATAAGTATATAGTACACATTCGTGGGACTAAATTAAATAAATAAAAAAATCAAGTTGAAATTAAAAAAATTAAAAGAAGCTAGGGGATTAAATTGAATTAATTTAGATTGGAGACAAAGATATTATCTCCATAAAAGCGTGGGCCTAGAAGCCTGAATTATTTAGTGGTATAAATACTATTTTATGATTTCTAATTTCACTTAATTAGTTCATTTTTTGATTTCCCTCTCTAGATTTCTTCTCTCGAAAAAAACCTATACCCTCTCTAGAAAAACATATTTTTCCAGAGTCTTTTCATTTTTTGATCAAACCACAAAAATTCACTGTTGTTCTTCAACTGTTCATCCCCAAAAATCCCATTCAATCCAAAGTAAACACAATTCTTCATTCCTTTTGTGTTTTTTTTCAATCAAAACACAAAAACACATCAATGTTCTTCACTTGTTCATCCATCAAAAGTATTCGATCCAAAATAAACACAAACATTCCTTCGATTTCTGTTTTTTCGATCAAAACACAAACCCTAACCTTTGTTCTTCCCTAAATAACCATTTGATCCAAAATAAACTCAAACATTCCTTCGATTTCTATTTTTCTCGATCAAAACATAAACCCTAAATCTCATTCTTCATTTATTCTTCCATAAATAACCCATTCGATCCAAAATAAACACAAATCTTCCTTCGATTTATGTTTTTCTTGATCAAAACACAAACCCTAACCCCAATTCTTTATCTATTCTTCCCTAAATAACTCATTCGATCCAAAACAAACACAAATCTTCCTTCGAGTTCTTTTTTTCTCGATCAAAACACAAACCTAACTCTTATTCTTCATCTATTATTCCCTAAATAACCCATTCGATCCAAAATAAACACAAATTTTCCTTCAATTTTTGTTTTTCGATCAAAACACAAACTCTAACCCATATTCTTCATCTATTCATCCCTAAATAAACCATTCAAACTTTTCTTGACCTTCTGTTATTCTTTTGTTGACTCTTGACCTTTTGTAAATCCTAAAATAAAGACAGAAAACCCTAACCATTCTCATTCTTATTCTTAACTCTTGACCTTCAGTTATTCTTTTATTTAATTGAATCTTTTATTTTTTAGGGTTCATGGATAACCATTAACTTTCCAAGTATTTTATTCTATTTTTTATTTTTTATTTATTTTTCTTAAATATTCTAACAAATTATTTGTTTCTCGTATAGGAAAATTACAAATAGATTAAACTGAGCAACGACCCCAAAGAGGTATATTCTTAAATATTTTGTTTTATATTCTAGTATTTTATTTATGTTTTTTCGATTTCTATTTTAATTTATTTATATTTGGTTTATATTCTATTTTTTATATTTTTGTTTTATAGACCATGCAAATATTGTTTTATATTTCTATTTATATTATTTGAGTGTACTAATATAGTATTATTGAAAAAAATGTGTTAACATTAAAAATGACATTAACTTATAATTATATCAATTAAAACAAATTTATGTTTTTTTATATTTTATTGACCATGCAAATCTCTTATTTTTGTATTATGTTGATTTCTGTTTTTATGTTTATGTTTTATATTATGTTTTTTTTGTTTTTATTTATTTTTGTTTTATATTTGGTTTTTTTATTCTGTTTTCATTTCTGTTTTTTATTATTGTTTTTTTATTTTTATTTTTTGTTCTAACAAATGTCTATTATTGTTTTTTTTTGTTTGAAGAGGATATAAACGATAACAGTCCACATCTGTTGATGATATTATTGCTAGTAAGATGAAGGCTACATCAGAATTCGGGAGAAGAATTTCTCCTGTTTGGAACCATTATACCTTCATCAAGCCTCCCGAAGGTGGTCTTTATGCCCAATGTAAGTATTCCAAATTAAAAAGGTATAAAACTGATTCTTATATTGGTACATCTAACCCTAAAAGGCATACTGGTAAATGCCAAACTCATAAGGATTTTCATGTTGAAAATCCTAGTATGGTAAGTACTTTTGATCAAAATATATACTCTCAATTGTTTGATGAGGCTATTATGTGTCATGGTTATGCTTTGAGTATGGTTGATCATGAAAAAGTTAGGGCTTTGTATCATTACCTTAATGTTAACGTGAAGGATATTTCGAGATATACTATTACTAAGTATTGTATGTTAGAGCATGAAAAGAATAAGAATTACCTACTTGATTCAATGCATTTTGTTTCAAGTCAAATTTGTTTTACATGTGATGTATGGTCTGCATACACTTCACATTCTTGTTTTACTCTCACTGCACATTATGCAGATAATAAATTGAAATTGTAGTCTAAAATACTTAATTTTCGTCTTCCTCCACGACATGATTCCGAGTCAATTTTAAAGTTTGTGAAAAAAATGATATGCGAGTGGGATCTTGAGAAAAAAAAAGCTTTTACCATAACTCTTGGCAATGCTTCTACAAATTATAAAATGGTTAAAAGACTTAGAGATGATTTGCATGCTATTTCTCCTCTTCCATGCAATGGTAAATATTTTCATATAAGGTGTGCTGCCCACATTTTGAATTTGATAGTTCAAAAAGGTTTGAAGGTAATTGATTCTTCTATTATTAAGTTACGGGAAATTGTTAAGTTTATTGATTCTTCTAATTCTCGACTCTGTGCCTTTGAATTAGCTGTTAAAGATTGTGACTCTTCTTTTCATGGTAAATCATTACTAGATGTCCATACTCAATGGAATTATACTTACTTAATGATTCATAGGGCACTTGATGCTAAATTAGCCCTTAACTTGTTTGTGAATAAGAAAAATGACTTGGATATGATTACTGAATATGAATGGGAAACTGTTCAAACAATTTGTGATTTTCTTAAGTCTTTTTATGAAATTACTATTCTATTATTTGGTTCGAAGTATCTCACCTCTAACTTGTTTTCGACCAAGGTTCTTACAATTGAAAAGTTGTTGTGTGATGCTCACAATGATCCTTGTGAAGACATTTATGCAATGACAGGACCCATGCTTGAATTATATGAGAAATATTGGTCTGATCACTCATTGATTCTGTCTATTGCTGTTTTATGAATGGGAAACTGTTCAAACAATTTGTGATTTTCTTGAGTCTTTTTATGAAATTACTATTCTGTCTTTTATATATATATATATATATATATATATATATATATATATATATATATAATCTGCACTTTCTAACTCTTCTTTTTCTGTCCAAAGTAACACATCTCTATAGACAAGTGGGTCGAGTTCTTCCAATAAGCCTCGAACATTTAAAAAATATGATCTATTTCAAATATGTTTTCAACTTTTCATAAGTTTAATTATTTTAATTTTCTTATTCTATTTTCATAATTCTAATTATTTTTTATTTATCTTTTTAGAGTTTTGATGCCAATTTAGCTGCTTCAAGGACTGAATATTTGGATGTTGATGTCTACATTAATTTGCCCCTTGTTCCCCGTAATGAAGAAGCTGAGTTTGACATTTTAGAGTATTATAAATCACAAAGTGCTTCTTATCCGGTACTTTTTCGCATGGTGAGAAATATATTGGTCATTCCAATTACTCCAATTGCTTTTGAATCTTCATTTAACATGTGTGGTCGATTTTTGAACAAGTTGAAAGCGAAACTCTTACCTAAAAATATTGAAATTTTTGTAAAAACTTGAAATTGGTTGTATGATTTTAAACCGGAAGAAAGGGATGAAGAATATCTTGATGTGGTCAATGATCCTTCTTCTTAAAATGTAAATATTTGATTTGCATGCTTATTATTGTGTTTATTTCATTGAAATTGTTTATTAATGATTTTAGTTTTGATTTTGTAGGGTGATTTTACACTTACAGCAAGCACATTGGGCTGAGTTTGTGAATAAGTCTTTCTTCATTCTTTCCTCTTATGGTAACTTATTCATATTTAAAATGTTTTACTAATGATTCTTTTTTTTACTTGTGTAGTTTGTTTTACAACAACCATATTAATGAAATAATTGTAGTTTTGATGGTTTGGTAAAGTCGAAAATGTTTGGCATTGTTGGCCATCGTATTCTCCTTGGCTTTATCATTGCTTGGATTGGTATGAATGTTGGCTGGACCGATTTGATTGCTTGTTGGTTGTTTGTACTATGTTATCTTGTAAACTATTGTTGTTGATCTCACTGAATTGAACTGTAACTATTATAAATTCTTATCTAATTAGTTACCCATGATTAAATTATGTTGGTGGCATTTTTGCTTTCAAAGCGGAAAAGTTGCCCATAATTTAATCATGTTGGCGACATTTAGACCATTTGAAATAATTAAAAGCTCGATGAAAAAATTTCTAGTAGCAAAGTCAGGCTTTTAGCTTCGTAAAACTTCTGCTATAAAATCTGGGAGCTTAAATTTGTACATAAATTATTTACTCCATTTAATTGTGTTGTGGCGTATTAAATTGTAATAAATTTAATTTGTACATTTACACATTTTGTTTGTTTCAATATTTATAAAATTATTAAATCTTTAATCTCATATCTTAATATTATCATAACTAGAATCATGTTTAATATACGTAAGTTAAAATATATTTAAGTTATTAATTAAAAGCTGAAAAATGATTCATGAATCATTTAATAAAATTAATTTTATAGTTATAGTTAATTTTTTAATATTATGGTCAAAATAAATAAAAACTAAATTTAGTAATATAAAGTAAATTTAGTAATAATATTATCTTAATTACTAATTTATTTTACATTTATTTTTAATTTTATAAATTTCAAACTATTCATTTAATATTTTTTTATATATTTATAAGTTTAAAATTCATAATTTCTTAACTTCATTAATTGTAACTTACACAATCAAGTTGAAAACATATCATGTCAACTTAAATTTATCTTGGATCACAAACAGTTTAAACAGTCAAACGCATTTGAAGAATATGGAAAATAGTGCCCTGTTCCTCAGGATCCACTTAACTCAGAATTTCTCAGCCAAATTTCAACAACAAAGATTTTCATTCAAACCGTTCACGGTGGGACTCGAACCCACAGTCTCCTGCTCCGGGGGCGAGCGCCTTATCCATTAGGCCACGCGAACCACTTTGACGTCCGATTTAATATTTTCATCTGATAATCGTTTATAAAAGCCGAAACAATTAATAAGACTAATGCCACTGCTGAAAGTCAAAACAGCTAGTAAGTGCTTTTAGTTTATAAAGGATCATATTTACTATTTATTAGTAGCCATAGAATAGCCAGCTGAGAAACAACAATTCTGACGTTGGCATTTTGATAAGCTAAAATGAAAAAACACATGCTACCTACACAAATCACCAACCCAACATTGTTGTAACATGCATTTGATACAACTAACTATTAATTAATATTTAAACAAATTTGGAAAATACTGATCGAGTCTTAGCTAAGCTGATATGTTGGACTTGTAACATTTAAGGAGATGTAAATTTAAACACATTTAAAAATATATCATTTTTTGATTTAGGACTTAGAATTTTATCTAATTTAAATATAATATTTATTTTGGAGTATATAGATTACAAATTACAAATTACAAAAAAACAAGCTATACATGGGGATGAGGGGGCTTCCCCTTGTTTTGCACGGTAGGTTAAATTTACTACTACTTTTTAATCCTCTCGTACACGGGAAAGGTGGGTTTGGTTTTGTACCTATAAAGAATCTTCTTTTTCTCGAGCAAGAAGTTACCAATAGAAATAACAATCTTCCCTGATTCACTAATATAAAATGAATTCCTAACACTCCCTCCTTTCTTCTTATCCTTCTCGTTTTGGATCAACACTCTGTACGATCCTTCATCGTCCGGGATGAACTCTTCCTTGTACGACACGTCCCATGCTCCCACCATCGTTAAATCCCAAACCATTGTCATTCCAGCCTGATATAATCACATATATACACTGCTTAGTCTCTTACAAGATGAATAGTCTTTTCGGGTTACTATATTTGTACCTTAGGGGTTGGAATTTGGATGTGCTCAGTTGTATTTGCTTTGGCCTTAACCACTAAAGCCTTGTCCTCTGTGGAAAACTCGTCATCGTTCTCTCTTTTGAGACCTCCGTATTCGACTGGGAGGTTTTCTGGAGGTATAAATCTAGTTTCGAAACAAGAAGATGACAATGGAAGATTTGATTTTGAAAAGACTAGAATTCATGTGTAAATTATTATGGCATTGCTTACTTGAGAAGAGTGCTGGTAACTTTCCCTGGTCTGGCAATCACAACCCTACCGTTCTTTGTTTGAGCTTTCAGCCGTGAAGAAAACACATGGGATATATAGAACCACAGGGGAACATTTATGATTATCTGCAAGCATCTCAATGGTTATGATATTGATCAATTACACACAGATATTTTGCTCTTACATTCAGGGTTTCAAAAAACGGTCCGCGACCGTGATATAGCGGTTTCGCCGCCGTCCGAGTTACCCGCGACAGCTGCAATAGCTTCCGCGACGACCGCAATAGCGCCCGCTACGGCCGCAATCACGGTAAATCCGAAATAACCGAAAACGCGACCGCGACCGCAATTTGAAACCCGGCTTACATTTCGATGGATGAACTCAGGATAATGATCTTGTAACAACTTCCAAGATTTTCGAGAAACGGAACGAAGTTCCTTTGTGGTTTGCCCCGATGAGTGCTTCAAATCTATGATCTGAACAATGGAGTTGGTTCCACCGCCTTCAAACTTGAGTTCCTTGATAGCCTTCTCCAAGAATTGAACTCTCCATCTTAAAAACTTTTCGCGCTTCTCTTCTGAACCAAGTATTTCATTTTGGATTTGATTGTCTTTCAAGGCACCATACATGTTGTAATACAGAGGGTGACCTTCCTTGTCTCTGCTATTTAGATATCCCAGGTTATCAAAATCATCACCCAGGTTTTCTACGACGATTTCATTGACTTTGAATTCCTTCCGCCATTTTAACGTCCCGCTAAGCATTTCGAAAGCCTCATTAACATTATAATCTTTGGCTTTCAAGAATTTCAACAACACGATATCTGTTCATTCATGGCGTTTGCTTGGCAACAAAGGTACACCCCAAAGTTTAATCTCTTTCAGTTCTTCAATGGCCTCTGCGCTTTCTTCTCGACTAACTTCACTGCTAGGTCTCCCCAAGAGATAATTCCCGAGAATCGACTCTTCAACTCGACACCTGAATTCGACCAAGGCCTATATTGGCTTAGCTTCTTTCCTTTGAAACATTCTTTCCATCTTCTGGATCTGATAAAGGTTCTTCAAAGGTTTCCTCATTGGTTTCTTGAACTTGGAGGGCATCTCATATTCAAATGCATTAGCCATGTTTTGATCCTGAACCTTGCCAAAATCTTTGATTTGTTCTTCTTTTCTTTTTCTTCCCCATAGCTGGGAAATGGAACCAGACCGAAACTGAATCCCTGAAGGTGAAGAGATTTAATGAAGACAGATAAATAAAGAACAGGCGCCAAATTTAGAGTCAAATGCATGAGTTAAATTTTAGTCCATGCCAGGTTTGCAAACCCTTGAAATAGCTTCTTCTTGGCTAAAAAGGATTGGTGTTTCTTTTTTTCTTCTTCTTCTTCTTCTTCTTCGACCTGTTTGGATAACTTGTTTAATATGTTATAAAAAGGAATGGCTTTTTGTATGCTAAACACATTTAACTATCCAACAACAATAGAAAAAACAAGATTAAGTAAATTTAACAAAATAAAGCATATATATTTATTGTGTTTATAATTTGCAATGTGTTTGAGAGAGAATCGACATCAGGAGTTCGAATCCGCGGATTGAAATACGACAAATGTACGAGTACGAACTTCATATATGTCTGTATTAGCAGTACAAAACATTATTTAAGGACCTGATAAACTAGCTTTCATTGGGGCTGGTCTACATAATCTTAACCACTACTTACAATGTTTCAACCACAAGTTACCAGCACAAGAAGTCATGCATTGTAAATTAAAACTTAGGAAACACCCTTTAACTCCTCAATTCTCAATCATGCTTTATTGTTACTGCTGGTCTATTACCATCTACCGTCTCTGCAACACTCATCATGGTTTCTTTATGGATGGGGGGAGATGCTATCACCTTGGATTCCTCATGGGTCGAAGGGGAGGCACCTATCATATTTTCTTTACAAGCCTCGACAGGAATAGTGGGATTAGCCTCAGTGGTGCCAGAGTTTTCATTAAGCTGTCTTTCGGACTTAGATTCAGCTTCCAGTTCCTCGAATTTGGAGATGACCCGTTGAAGTTCATCATGCAGATTCAGTGCCTCGAAGAGAACTTCATCGTTATCGGTAGTGCTTTCTATGATCTGAATAACAGGCTGTGACTGCTTGCACTTCTCCAACATGTTCTCCATCAGCTCATCCTGCAATCACTCAAGATTACATAGGAAGAACAAAAAGCTTCATGACGAAGTTGATAATATCATCTGGAAAGATAACAAAAGCTAAAAACAATAACATTTCAATTCCTACCATGCTAAATGACTACATAAGCATAGACGTGTGTGTTTGCAGCAAGGACTGTGAAATACAAAGTACACAATCACAGTTAAAATCATGATTTCATGCTAAAAGCAGAGTAATTACCACTGTAGGTTTCGGCTCTGTTTCCTTACTCAACATGCTAGAAAGCACCTCAAGGCTGTTTCGAGTTACTTCAAAAACTTCCTTCTTTTCTTCGGCGAAAAGACTACCATAACTATAGGTA